CTTTCACGGTTCTCTCCTCGTCGTATCTCTCAGCACACCGATTGTGGTGCTACCGCGGTCTCCGCAGTGTTGAGGCATTCATTTAATGCAACATTAGTTGAAGGTGAGCCTCAAGCTCCAGGTGATATAAATATTGCTTGATTCCCACCAACTTCTAAGCTGCCCTGTCTGCGCCCTTTTAGAGACACAGGCAGTATTGCATGAATTAAGCGTAAGCAGTATTTAATCAGAGCATGATACTTTTAGAGCACAAGCTGGCGCACATTTTTCTGACTTTACTCTCTGTATGTGGACATCTTCTGAAACTTAGATCATTCTTTAGGATGAAAGGAGCCTATCCTAGCATTTTCCTTGTGTGGACCACCCAAAAAGTCCACACAAGAAGAAATGTCCACACAAGAAAGGTGAATGTGTTCCGTCAGGGGTTGGTTCGCACAAGTATATAAAGACACAGGTTTTATTGATTGGATTAAAGTTAAAAAGGCACCACATACTTTGATCTGAACGGAGAGATGGAATTCTCAAAGGTCTTTGTTTTTGAGATATCCAAGAAAATCCTGTGCTGCTGATTTAAATTTCTTTTTTGCTGGATGGAGTTTGGTGATGGGATGTCGGATTCCTTCTCTCTGTCATTTTGTCTGCTGCATGTGTGCATGTGGCGCTCCCATTGTGGAGTCTGATGGGCACTGGAGAAAGAAAGATGCACACACATTGCGTTCTTTTTTTTCTTTTATAACCATAATAAGCAAATGTGCATTATACGATAACCATCAATTTTTATAGCGTGGTATGCTGTGAAACCTATTTACCACTGCAACCCTACTTCAGAGGAATCTGACCAAGTGAAATCAAACTACAGTTACATTTGAATGTGTCATTTTCCTCCTGTCAGGCTGATCAACCAGGTGCAGGGGGACTGTGCTCAGGACATCTTCATGAAAGTGGCCAGGAACATCTTTGCTGATGGCATCAACTGGGGTCGAGTGGTGGCTCTCTTCCATCTGGCCTACAGGCTGATATACAGGGTAACACACTGAGACCGCTTGCAGAGTAGTGCTTCTCAGCAGGGTTGTGAATGTTCTAGATCTTTAAAGTCAGCTAGCTTTTTTATTAAGATGCTGAGTTAGGGTCAGGGACACTATATTGCTGCCCAATGAGGTTGGACTGGTAATCTGCATTGTATAGTTTCATAAACTGAACTGATTTCCCTGCACCTCACCCCCTGAGCAAAACACATGCTGCACTGCTCCCCCATCTCACATGAACATTAGGAGTTGCTTTTTGTAGTGCACAAGTAATTCTCCTTATGAGTGATAATGTCTGGGTGTCAGCCAAGACAGCCCCACAACATCCAGAGACTTGAGGTACTCACGGGCGGATCTCATCCACACCCGGTCCCTTGCAACCGAGAAGCTTCTCAACTACCTCGGTGACTTCAGCCTGGATGCTGGACGAGTCCACCTCTGACCCCCTGGCCTCTGCTTCCTCATTGGAAGACCTGACACCGGAGTGGCGAGCA